CTGGTTTAAAAACAAGAAGTCATGTCTCTTCCTTCTATCCTGATTGTGGGAAGACCAGCATGTTTGGGAAATGGGGGAATGGACCATAATCTCTTTCTGCCTTCCTCCAGAGAACATTTCCAGATATTAGTTCAGGTCCAGTGAGTGATTGTGATAAGCTGTTCAGAGGATGCTGAAGCCGGTGGCTTGTAAAAGCAATTTCCCCCCATATTTTTGGTTGGCAGTGAAGGCTGTTGCACAGATGGCTTAGTTTCACTTCCTTGGGCTGGAAAGGTGATGCTCTGTGGTCATTGGAGAAGAGTCAAATTTCACTTGCCTCCCAGCTCCTGTTTCCCTTTTGTATGATGGTGCTAGCTTGACTGTGTAACACAACCCAAATGAAAGAATTCCTGGATCATCATCGTCATTGTTCTGGGAGGAAGCAAGACATATCACCATAGCAAGCATAGAAACAAAGAGGAACTGTGCCATTTTCTCTTTTTTATTGGTTAAAGATGGGGAAGGAGTGTATGTTTAGACAGGAACTGAAAAGGATATGGTGGGGAATGGTTAGCACTGATTGATGGGCAGGTAAGCCCACCACAATCTCATAATATCCCAATTTCTATAGAAATCTGAAATAGCCATAACAGCTCAAACCAATATTGAATAGGCTTTAAACGTGGAACCCAAATGGTTTGGGGTAGAAAGCCTGGTTGTAGGTTTTTATATTATTCATTTGGACTTTGCCCTATAGCAACATGTTGTGGGAGTATCTTCTCATTCTCTCTGAAACCCCAGCAGCTCCTAAGTGTCCTTTTAAATGTGGATTTGTTATACCACTCCATCATGCAATATGGTGACATTTATTGTGTAATACTGCTGAGTGGGAAAAGTCTCCACCATTCAGAGCTAATCTCCTCCCAAAGTTAATCTTCTTAACTTTGAGAGTGGCAAGTCTTTATGGTGCTTTAAATCACCTGCTGTTAGAAATATAACGTAAATCAGCAAATCTGAAATCACAGCCAACACGTAGGCATTTATCTTGGCTTCAAGCCAAGGGGTTTTAGCTCTATCCATCTCTGAGCAATAGCTTTCCTCCTTGTTAAAAGCCTGGAAATGGGGTGCTAGAGAGGGAAACGTATTTGTCAGGAATCATTTAAAATTCTGGAGGGCCTCATATTAATTTGCGATCTTCAGCAGCCTTGGTCTTGATCATGGCACCAGACCAAAATGCAGGGAAAAGTAAAAGAAAAAGGATCAGAAATAGTTAGAGGAAAGTAGCACTAAGACAAATGGCCTTACATAAAGCAGAGGGCATCTTTCTGGCTCAAATGAAGAGTCACAATTCTGCAGATTAGAAGAGATTGGATAAACTGGATGACTTTCAGTGGGCAAGAACCATCAATTTTCTAAAATTGGCCCTTTGAAGGAGAATAACGCTAATGGGTTGACTTGTCTGCAGGAGAAGCTAGTACTGTCCTGAGCACGTACACCTTGGTTAGCTTCATCCAATGCTGTAAGCCATGGTTTGCTTAACTGTGTTTTTTTTAAGTAAGTCACAATTAGCTGGGCTCATTTAAAATAATAACCTGAGATTTGAGAGCTGTCAATGGCTTTCAAAGGCCTTGGATGGAACTCCCAAAGACATCCACATATTGCTAATAAATTGTCATGTTTAATATAATATTTAAAACTATGAAATAAAGGATGAGAAAATAATCATATTAGTTACATTTGAAAATGTATATAAAATCCCTGTTTTGTCCTGCCCCATTAGTCCATCCACTACTTTGGGGACTGTGATCCCTCATCCACCACCAAAAATCAAGTAGGATCCTTGGCTTGGAAAAAGTTGAGATCCCCTGCCATAAACTATGGTGAAACACCGTAGTGGCTGGGTGAACAGACCCACTAGGATACTGAACAAGGCTCAGCTCAAGATCAGCAGTTTTTTACATATGGCAAGCCTCATCATTTCCTTAAAATAAATAAATAGCCATCTCATGAGATTTCTGCAGATGCACCAGGATCTCATGAGATTTCATTGAAACGTCATGAAATTTCAAACGAAACCATCAAATATGCATGAGATTCGGTCATTTCTCACTTTTATTCATTTCAAGTTGGGTATCATTTGGGCATGTTCTTAGTGTGGTATGTAAACCCAAAAGCAAACAAAGAGAGGCGCTAAGTGCCAAAAGAACCCCTGCCCCCAAATTAAATAGCCAATTGTGTTCTCATAAGAATTTGTTTATTTAATTTAACTAACAGAGATTTAAAAAATACAAAAAAGAGGAAGAAAAAGAAAAATCATCAAATGAAATGAAAAAGAAAACATTACAGAAATATACTGCTTTATTTATAACAAACAGATCATTTCTTAAATACAACATTAAGCTTGACCACGCCTAATAATATTAATAAATCTTTCCATTTCATTGATAGAGTGCCAGTTCAAAAGTAAAGAGCAAATCAAGATTGCAAATGTGCAGTTTTTTCTAAAAATTAATCCTTCTTGGTTTCTTTGACCAGTGAAGGTTATACTGAATATGCTACAAGATCTCTCTAAGTTAGCTACTTTTTTTCCAAATCCCTCCCCAACCTGGGTCCTCTCCAAATATCCACCTTCCAGAATTCAGGTTGGCCATGGCAGCTGAACGTTCTGGAGTTAGAATCATCCTGTCTGAAGTTGTCCAGATTAGGAAACACTGAGCTAAGGCCTTGTATCCAGTTTTAGTCTATTCTCCTTAGCAACATATATTCTTATGTTATCCCCAACTATGGGAATAGTCTTAAAAGTGACTATTCCCATAGTTATTGGGGAAAAGACCAAGAAGAAGGTAGGAGGTCCTTAAGAATATCTGTATATCCCATTGCCTAGTTTAATTTCACTTCCCATTTTAGGAGATCACACGCTAGAAACAGCAACTAAGTGTTCAGTTATAATGAAATGATGTAACGGTTAGAGTGGACTCAGTCATGGGGTTAATTGGGTACCCACAGATCATTTCACCTCTTGATGGAAAGGCAGGGCATAAATGGAGTAAATAAATAGGGACATAAGCAGTGTACTATATACACACAGAGGTAATTCAAGCAATAAAATAGCTGTGCTAGTTCAGCCTTCTAACCTTGAGACGGGGGGTTGGCCCTGAGAAGGTGATCAGTAGCCCAACATACCCTTTTACGTGTGATAGGAGAGCCATGTCAGGCTATGGTGGCAAAAAATCAGAAGGTCTGGGGGCACCTTTTTTGATTAACACATTTTTATCAAAAAGCAGAAGCAAAACAAAATGTGTTAATTGGAAAAGACGCTACCGGACCCCTTCTGATTTATTGCCTTTTAAAAAAAATGTTTATATAATATTTTATTGAGATTTTAAAGATACATATTTAAAAGTTAAAAAGGAAAAGGAAAATTTGAA